TCTCTGGCAAGAATATATACCTTCTGGCAACTAAAAGTATAATAGTTAAGATAGTAGGTGTCCATATAACAACATCTACATAGAATATATGTGGAAAGAAATGTTCTAAGTTGTTAAATGTAGATAAATCTAGAAAATACAGAGAACTGGCTAAGACCTTTTATTTCAACTTCATGGTATTCTATACAGTTTATTTCCATTTGAGAAATAATGAACATATATTACTGTGTAATACATTTTTTTTAAAAGAGGGATTTTTGCTATAGAGCATGTGCACTCACCAGAGAAGCAGACAGAAAGTGAGAAATCATCCCCCCCGGGGAATGGCCAAATTTTAATCCCTTCTTCATTTTCTCCTCTTGGGATCTTGGGCATGTATGCACATGCACCTGGTATGGGTTTTAAGCCACCAGGTCCAGGACTCAAACCGCAATCGACTACATGGGGGTCCAGTGATGTAGCCATCATGCCATCTGCTGGTCCCAGCTTGTAATACATTTTTAAAGCATTTACCTCTTTTTAAAAATTATGACTAGTTTAGAGTCATTCTGGCGGATTGTAAATTAGTTTAGTCTTAAACCTACTATTTGTATTCTTTTGTATTTTGAGCACTAGAGACTGAGTCATCTGTAAAGGTTCATATAAAATAGTGACTATTCAATTTAGGTCTCATTAAAATTTATTTTTCTGTAATACATGTGAGTCCCATCTTTTAAAAAGGGTTTAGCAAAGAAAGCAACCACACACAAAGAGTTTATCTTACTATTTATTAAGCTGGGTTTGCCTCATCATGGGACATAAGTGTTGTGTTTTTTTTTTTTTTTTTTTAAAAAAAGATTTTTGCTGTAGGGCTTGCGTGCTTGCCAGAGAGACAGAAAGCAAGAACTCACCACCCAGGTGGTATGGCCATGGCGCAATCCCTTCTCCAGTCTCCTCTCGGGATTTTGGGCACACAGGTACATATGCCAGGCATGAGTTTTAAGTCCTCGGGTTTGGGACTTGAACATGGTTGAGTACATGGGAGCCCAGTGACTTAACATTACACTGTCTGCTGGTCCTGGGACATAAAAATTTTAAGATTGGGCCGGCAGGTGGTGTGGCAGTTAAGGGCACTGTACTCCCACATGGCTGACTGTGATTCGAGTCCTGGACACCTGATGGCTTGCTTTTTCACTCTCACTCACTCTCACTCTCTCTCTTTCTCTCTTTCTCTCTCTCTCTGTCTGGTCAAATTTAAATAAATAAAGTTAAATAATTTAAAAAAATAATTTTAAGTTTAAAAAATTCCTTTTGTGCTTGCTTTTAGCTCCAGTGTACTGAATTTAACCTTGTATCCACCCTAAATGTTATCAAAGTTCCTTTCCAAATGCTTAGTAGTAGGTATTTTAGGATATAAATTTATTTTGCAGGTGATGCATGCTCTCTTAACGTTAAAGGTCACGATTAGATAAATGTCAGAGAAAACCCACACTACTGAGCAAAACAGTTTTTAAGTGATGAATGTTATCAAAATTCCATTAAAACCTGTCAGGTTGCTGCTTTATTGTTGTTACCAAAGGTTAAGTTACACTTAAAACAAAAACCTATTTACGTTTCTGCCTGATTTACTTAATACTGCTACCAGATAGTCTGAACGTTATGATTTTCTCTGGAACTTCTGGGAAGTAAGAAGTCGTGTTTTTAAAACCGAATCTCTGGTAGAAATCTAAAGCGATTTAAAAGTATGACAGTATCTTGCTGGTATATTTTTCCTGCCTGTCATGTGTAAAAATAAAAGGCAGGATAAATATACTGAGCTATTTAGAGGAATAGAAATGATGGAAAAAAAATGAACCCTGTCTGTTTAAAGTGAGATTATGCATTATATATGTGGAGAGATAAAAGAGACTTAAAAATCATTGACTCTAACGAACTCATTTCATAGAAGAGAAAGCTGTGACCAGGAGGTGAAATGACTCCCTTAACTGTACACAGCTAGTTAATGACTGCGCTAGGACTAGAATGGCGGTGCTAGTCTTCAATTTGCCTGTTAACTAGTTCTACCACACCGTGACACATCCACCTACATATATGTGCTTCTGAGCATAACTGTATTTTTCTAAACATGCCACACTATGATCCAGTGGTCCCACTCCCAGCAGATACCCAATATCTGGGGGGTACTAGTGTCCACCAGGAGACATGTACTAGCTCATTCATGGCAGCATTTTTTCTTAAATAGCCAATGTGGAAGGAAGGAAAGAAGAGAGGAAGGAAAGAGAGAAGAAAATCCAAATGTCACTCAGCAGTAGAACAAATAAATAGAGTATAGTCACACAATGGAATATTATGCAGCAGTTAAAAAGAAAGGTCTAGGCCTGTTCTATGGCCTGGTGGTTAAGACAGCTGGATCCTATGCAACCGAAGTCTCAGATCCATGGGCTTGAGAAACATGGCTGATGCATGTGCGGGCATGGCCAAAATCTTGAAAGGCAAGGGAAATGGTGGTGATGGATCTGTGGCATAACCATGCCCCATAAGCTCATGGTGGAAAAAAGCAAGCTCTTTCGCATTGCTTGGTACACTGGCCTTCAGTTCATGCCAGTAACAAATTTGGGATGGCAGTAATGAAGTAGCTCTTCTGTTTTCCTTCCAAACTCCAGACATCCTGCCTGCGTAGGAAAGCACTCGTGTAGTTCATGAGAGCTCGACACTGAGGTTCGGACCACTCTCACCATTACTGCTGCTGCTACTGCTACTGTGCTGTTTCCTTTGGGTATTTAATCCTCTTGGGGACCACCTGGGATGGCTAGACCAAGGTTGGATTTGTAAGTTCTGACTCTGTTGGCCAAACACTATCATAATGCTCTAATTGGGCCACCCTTTAATAGCATCTCATTCCTAAATCCCGAAATACGTATCACAAGAACTCTTGATAATCCTCTTTCTTCTGCCATTGGTTCTTCTTGCATTAACAGGTGTTTTTCTGGTGTTATAGTCTGTTCTTCTTTTTAAAAATTTATTTATTTCTCCCATATGTGAGACATGGAGGGCGAGAGTGACCATCCCTAGCAGGGTTCCAACCCCACTTTCCACCTCCCACCTTTAGCCAGCCCTGGATCACGGTCAAGCGTGTGTCCGGTGTACTCAAGGAAGTCTTTGGACTTGAACCAGGAGCCTTTTCGTATAGGATTGCCTCCCAGAGCTTTGCATTTTACTTCTGTGCCACTATGGCCACTGTGGCCCCTTCAGCCTATTATTCTCGAAAGTTTATCACGTGGAAAAACTCCTTGAAGTCTGAAGAGGAGAGATACTTATGTTTAAAAGAGATTTATCCTGCTAATTATGGATCAGACAGGCATTTATCCTACTAATTATAGATTAGACAGGCCACCTGAATTCAAGTCTCCAGGGAGCCGCAGAAACAAATTGTCAGTCAATTGGCAATCATCTATAGAGGCACTAGCTGCTGAGTTGCAATTAATTCTGCTTTGCGAGGAGCTGGTTGTATCAAAGCAAGTTCATTTTGTTAAATGTTGACTGGCTGACAGGATTTCCATTCTCCAAGTAAGGCCATCGCATCTGCATGGCAAGAAGACATGGCCTGAACGATTTAGATGGGTAGGAAAAAAGGTGACATTAGTTTACACAAAGGCATTCGCGAAGCGCTGCGTATATAATGCTGACATGGGAAAATCTCTGTTTTCCTCAAGTTACCCAAATTGCTTTATAAAAGTTTATTATTATTTTTTTGAATGCGAGGGTAAGGTATATGCTACATGTTTTCCCATTCCTGTAATGTTTAGGTAAGTTTATATGTAACTTGTTATCACTGAAGCTTTCCGGAAATGTTTTGTTTTACCTCAGGGAAAACAAAAAGCTTGTGTTCTGTCCCTTCTTACTGATCTTAACAGCCCAGTGCGCAGATGTTGACCCCCTGTGCTTACTTTACACTGGGACTCTGCAAACGGACTAAGTTAGCTTGCCAGCAGGATTTGAATTTCAGGTCCTGTCCGTTATGAGTTAAAATTTGAGCACCTGTGGAGATAATAGACATAATGACATGACAAAAACATACCAAGAATTTCTGTCAACTTTTTTGCGAGGTTCTCTCCAAGTACATAGAGACAGGAGGATAATTGACATGGAAATGCATGAATGATTTCATTCTTTGTCAACTTGTTCATTTTTACCAAACCCTAAAATTGCCCCATCAGTGTTTAGTTGTACTTTGAGCAAAGACCTAGTCATTACCGACTAGCAGGGTGTTCGGTCAGCCAGCTACATACCAACTTGATTGCTCTCCTTTGAATTTCATCACTGAGCTGAAATGAGTCTTTTCTTTAGTTTATGCATTCAGTCACTGTACATCACTATGGCTTGTAAAGTAAGTTTACCCAACACGAATACACTTCACACTAGTCCAGTTGAAGACACCACACACATTATCATGACAGATAATCCTTTCTTTGTTGGTGGCAAATTAAAAAATTAAACTTTCTGAAAATTCTTAGAAAAAAATTGTCTTCTTGTTTTCAATCTTGCATTAGAAGTGTTTATTTGATATCTAACTATGTTAGAGACAATGAAATCCCAGTATCAAGAGAAAAGACGTTTCAGGACCAGCAGATGGCATAATGGTTATGTCACTGTACTCCCACGTAGTTGACCACAGTTTGAGTCCCAGACCTGGTCACTTAAAACTCATACCGGATGCATGTGTGTGCATGCCCAAAAATCCCAAGAGGAGAATGGAAGAGAAGGGGTTGTTGTGTGGCCAATCCCCGTGGGGGGTGACTTCTTGCTTTCTGTCTCTTCAGTGATCGCACAAACCCAATAGCAAAAATCTCTCTTAAAAAAGAAAAAAAAAAAGACATCTCATACAGAAAAACATACACATATATATGCAAATGTTAAAGCGGTGACTGGAAATTTTAGGTAAAAACAGGCATCAGCTGGACTGTGGTGACTTCTTGAGAATTGTGTAACTTCGTGTGTCGTTTTGTTGGTTGCTTTTGCAGTTCAACTCTGCTGCTAAGCAGCTGATAGAATGGGATAAGCCTCCTGCGCCAGGAGTTGATGCTGGAGAATGTACCTCGGCAGGAGCCCAGAGCAGCGCTGCCCCAAAGCACTCCGACATCAAGAAGAACACCAAAAAGCGGCACTCCTTCACTTCCCTCACCATGGCCAACAAGTCCTCCCAAGCATCCCAGAACCGCCACTCCATGGAGATCAGCCCTCCAGTGCTCATCAGCTCCAGCAACCCCACCGCGGCCGCTCGGATCAGCGAGCTCTCTGGGCTCTCCTGCAGTGCCCCTTCTCAGGTAAATCTTCAAACAGGCACGAAGAAGAGCTTGGCCACAGGGGCCAGATGGGAACATGGCAGAGAAACACAGGGAACCAGCAGTTAGCGTAATGGCTATGTTGCTGGACTCCCATGTAATCGACTGCGGTTTGCGTCCCGGACCTGGGTGGCTTAAAACTCACACCGGGCACATGTGTGTGTGTGCCCTAGATCCCGAGAGGAGAATGGAGGAGAAGGGATTACGGCGTGACCATCACCCCGGGGGGTGATTTCTCACTTTCTGTCTCTATGTCTCTCTCTGTCTGTCTGGCGAGCACACGCGCCCTATAGCAGAGAAACACAGTGCTGTTCAAGGTAGGCCCACGTAGGGAGGTTCCTGGTTCAAGTCTGAAAACTTCTCTGAGCAGGACCAGCAGATAGTCATTGCAGGACTCCCATGTAGTTGACCTCAGTTCAAGTCCCAGACCCGGTGACTTAAAACTCACGCTGGGTGCATGTGCATACGTACCTGAAGTCCTAAGAGGAGAATGGAGGAGAAGGGATTGCAATGTGGCCATCCGTCCAGGATGATTCTCATGCTTTTTGTCTGTTTACCATACGCATGTGCCCTATAGCAAAAATACCTCTTAAAACAAAACAAAACCTCCCTGAGTAAACCAGACATAAGTTTGCCCATGGTCTGGGGCTGGCTGGATACTTACTGGTAATGGATCCCAGCATCAATACTCTGTTTGGGGTGCACCCCTCCCCCACACCTGAATAAATAAAACAAACTCAGCCATAAAGAATCCACCTACAGACACATTGATTTGTTCACTAACTGAAAAATATTGTTTATTTTGAACTTCTGAAGACAGTAGGTTTCCTGGGAAGCAAAGACATTTTTCACTGTGTGGGTGGAGAAATGGAGGAGAGAAAGGGAGAGCTAATGAGAATGTATCAACCCAGAACTAACTCTTCAGTTCTTTCCTTTTTCCTTTTTCAGTTTTTTGCTGTAGGGCTCATGTGCTCGCCAGAGAGAGGGGAAGTGATAAATCACCCCCCAGGGGGGATGGCCATGCTGCAGTCCCTTCTCCATTCTCCTGTCAGCGTTTTGGGCACGTCTGCACATGTACCTGGTGTGTTTTTCAAGCTCCCAGGTCCAGGACTCAGCCTTGCAGTTGGCTGTGTGAGATCCAGCACCCTAACCACCATGCTACCTGCTGGCCTTTACTCAGTTATTTTTAAATAAAAGATCAGAACTTGGGAATTAAACGATACCAGTTGCAATAAGCAATCACTCAGTTTTACCAAACTTTCTCATAATGCTGATTTGGGAAATCTTGCCAACTGGAACTTTATCTCCACCGAAATGTAAGATGCTGTGCTTTAAACTCATAATATTTGCAGCTGTTTGAACCTATGTAGTTTAAAGACAGAAAGTAGTCAAAGGACTTAAACATTCCATTTTAAAACTGACGGCACTTATCTTTTTAAAGCTCACACATTTATCAAGACTGTTTTTTAATTATTTATTTAATTTTATTAATTCATTCATTTATTTTAATTTGACAAGAGAGAAACACACACAGAGAGAGAAAGAGGGAAAGTGAGAAAACAAGTCGCCAGATCCGAGACGCGAACTATGGTCGGCCCTGTGGGACTGCCCAGCGCCTGAATCACCCTGCCACCTGCTGATCCATCCAGACTTTTTAAAAAATAGCATCACAGGGTCCAGCAGATGGCATAGGGATTAATGTGCTGGATTCTACCATGGCCAGCTATGGATCAAGTCCTGGACCTAGTGGCTTGAAAACCATGCCAGGCATGTGTACATGCATGTCTAGAATCCCAGGGGGAGAATGGAAAAGAGAGGACTGTGGTGTGGCCATCTCGACTGGTGGGTGATTTCTCACTTTTCATCTCTTTCCAGTGAGCACACATGCCCTCTAGTAAAATAGCTAGGGGGAAAAATTCCAACACATTAGGCTGAGCAGTGGCCAAGTGTAAAAGGTGAAGCTCTATGAGATTGACCCATGTGGAAAGGTTTGGGGTTCATGTCCAAAAACCTCCCTGATTATACGAAGAGAACACATGCCCACGGAGGTGGGGTGAAATTGGGAGTGGATGCAGCATCAGAGCCTTTTGGGGGTGCTCTCTCTTTTTCTCTCTCAGAAGAAATGAATAAATACATGTTAAAAAGCCTACCGGGTTATTCTCATCTTCATAAAAATATACCAGGTTATTGGGAACATTCATTCATTCATTTTGCAAACACTTATTGAGCACCTTTTTATTAAATTCTTCTAGATGCTGTGTATACCAGAATATGTGAGGTACAAGCTTTCCTATATTGGGCCTTAATTCTGGACAACAAGACGAGCCTAATTGGGACCTTGCCCAAGGCACAGGGCTCCTTTTACTGTCCCCTCAGGTGACAGCTGGGTTTTCCTCAACTCAGAGGTCAGGAGAGCCTTGTTCAGAGCAGCCTGCTGCAAGTAGGAGGAATTTTTCCAAAGTCTCCTGTCTCCTTTAAAAAATTTATGTCCATTTTACATTCTCTACAATGTAGCTCTGTGTTTTTTTTTTTTTCCCTTTAAATATAAAAATAAAAATAATTCCCTGAGTGCAAAAATACATGGTTCTGGTCCTCAAGAAATCTACAGTTTAATAAGTACCTGTTTCAAAACATGGAATTAAAATGTACAGTATAATTTTTGGTATTCCTTGCCAATTTAATTAAAACTTGTATTTTCTCGACCTCCTTATTTGAGCCCATTCCCATAGATGCATGTTGAGACTTAAAAGCATTTGCTTTCTGAATGGGATTGTGTTTTTTGGATTTGTGTTTTTGGTCTTTTTTGAGGGAGATACTATACACACACACATGCACACAAACACACTCACGTATAGGTGCTCTTGGAGCTAGAACGTAAGAGCAATGAGGAAGGGGGTCCTAATTTTGTTTACTGATAATATTCCAAGTGTTTGACCTACAATATGAGATCAGTTAAAAATTTGTTGAATGAATGAGTCACGAAGAAAAATGGGTAGAGAGTAGTAACTGGGTAGAGAGTTATTTTACATGTAACTAATCATAACCATGTGAAAAGTAGATGTGGATTATAGATCATAGTCAGAAGTTCCCAGTGAGGTTAATTTGGAAATATTCAAAACTTTGGGGCCAGCAGGTCATAGTGGTTAAGGCACTGGACTGCCATATGGCTGACCATGGTTTGAGTCCTGGACCTGGGGGCTTGAAAACCAAACCAGGTGCGTGTGCATGCATGCCCAAAATCTCAAGAGAAGAATGGAGAAGAAGGGATTGAAGCCTGATTTCTCACTTTCTCTCTCTCTGTCTCTGTGTCTCCAGTGAACACATGCACCCTATAGTAAAAAAATACTGAAAAATTTTGAGTGAATTTCTAAAGGACTGGGTTCATAAAGAGGGCCATTCATGGAGGGAATATCAGGTCATTTTGACTCTACATTTTTTAGTTGCGACCTGGCGAACATTTGCAAAGTGATGTTTTCTTGAAATATTGGGTCACCAGAACAATCATGACACAGTTTTGCCTAGAAAAACAGGACAACCCAACAGAAAGAAAGCTTCTGCTGAGAACAGTGACAGCTCCAAGTGGGAAGGGCTTTACAAGAATGGACGGTAATCTTTTGGGAGTGGAGAAAATTAAAAGAGAAAGGATGATGAGCTGCATGTTCACGTCTTTTGTAGAGCCCTCAGGAGTCAGGTGTGAGCATGTCTGAGGCTGCCACACGAGAGCTGGGAATGAAGACTGTTTTTGTTTTGGTTTGAGTAGTTTTGGAAACAAGGCTCTTTCTGTGTGCCACTAAAACAGTTTCTCCTTCAACCGCCCCTCCCCTCGTCCCGTATTCCAGTGCATTCTGTTTTCTATGGTTGTGTGTTGCCTCAGGGAGAAATTATTTCTAAGAGAGGGTGTGGGAAACGTTTGAAGTGCTGCCTGGTTTCTCCAGCCTCGGTTTACAGAAAACCCCACTTACCTAGGGCACTGCGTACGTGGGAGGGGACCACAGTCCACAACAAAGCACCAAGGGTAGCCTTATGTGACATGCAAACAGGCTCCTGACTCAGGAGATCAGCGTGGATGGGGAAACCTCTATGGGAGACTGTTGAAAACAGGACTGTCCTTTCCCCTGCCCAGCAAAGGGCCTCTCAGGAGATTTAACCGAGGCTCATTGCTGAATCTGTCCTGTTGGCAGCCAGAGTTCGTTGTTCCTTTTCCTCACTTCTACTCACTTTCACTGTCAGTTTTCTTTCTCTCTTTCTTTTTTTTTTCCTTATAGTAATTAACGATTAGGCTTGGTTGCATTTATTTATTAGAAAATGAAAAGTACAGGCAGTAAAGTCATTAGTATGCCTGTTTTGCTCATCTGCATCACATAGGTGGTGGGGTGCCAGTTCGGTGGCTCCAAAAGTTATGAGAGACTGACAGATCTTGAAGTTCACCTTTCCCTCCTATGGGTCGGTCCTTGTTTTCACTTTTCTAAATGGCAATTCGAGATGTCACTATCACATCAAATTCCAGGCAGCAGCATGGTGAAATGGACAGAAGAAGGGAACAAAGCTTGGTTGCTATGGCATTCAGGGTCTACGAGTGCCGGCTGAATCGGCAAATGCACCGGCAGATTATTGATAGACCGTGCTGCCCAGGTGGCTCGTCAGATCAAAGTGCCTGGCTGTCTGCGACGGATATCTGTACAAGCACATGATGTTCCGAGCCAGCACGACATTTGGTCTGCTCCTCTGACCACACCTACTGTGTCCTGTGACCCTGCCGCTGGAGAGTGATTTAGAATGGTCAGTGTTTCCATGTTGCATTGCTGGTGGCCTGGGGAAGCAAGAAGGCCGACCGCCCACTCCTGTTGGCCTTTTCCCAACTCTCAGACCCCAGCTCCTCCCTTCCTTTAGACTGTTCTTGTCGAGGAGACTGAACTGATGTTGGCGGTTCTGCGATAACGGGGTGAGTCCAGCAGGAATGAGTCTAGCAGGAATCCAGCTTGTCTCTGTCAGAGCACTCGTTCTGGACTGCTCACCCTGGACTGGTTTACTTGTGCTTCTGGTTCTGCTTTTAGTCTTCCTGTGGTCACCTTGTTCCTTCGGAGCAGTCCCCAGTAAAGTGACACTTGCAGACTCTCTGCTCAGTGCTTCATTCCTGAGTCTCGGGGCCAAGACCCAAGGGAACCTCTACCCCAGCTGTTCCTGGGCTTCTAGAAACATGTAGTGATGTATCCCAAGACCATGCAGTCTCTGGCAGCGTATTATTCTGGCTCCCATCTCTGGGACTTTTCTTGCTTTCTGTCTGTCTGTCTGTCTGTCTCTGGTGTGTGCATGTGTCCTGTAGCAAAAATTTCTCTCTCAAAAAAGAAAAGAGGGGCCCACAGGTGGCGTGGTGGTTAAGGGTGCTGGACTTCCCGCATGACTGACCGCGTTCAAGCCCCGGACCTGGCAGCTTACTTTCTCACTTTCTGTCTCTCTCTCATTCTCTCGCTCTCACTCTGTCCCTCTCTGGTCAAATAAAAATAAAATAAAATAAAAATAATTCTTTTTAAAAAAGGCAAAGAAAACTTTTGAAGAAGGGTTTGTGCTGTGTTGCAGTACTGCCTTAGCATTCTGAGTCGCTGGGACTCCTGCTCCTCTGTACCTGGCTCTCAAGGCAGATGGGAAGCTGAGTCGGGGCTCCTATGTGCTCTCAGCCTGCTAAGCAGCAGCGTCTGTTGGCACATGCTGCCATGTCTGGGCCCCGGTTGGGCTTTTAGATAAATGTTAGTCGGTAATGAAATCCTCCTCACATATTTGTAGGCTCAGGCCCAGGAAGCTGTAGTTTGGTGGTTTCTGCCCCCAAAATTCCTTGGTAATGATGTCCCCTGTGAGGTGAGCTGCATTGTATCTTACAGGAAAGGCTACCTATTTGGTGTGGTGCCAACATGCAGCTGTCCTTGGCTTGTGTATATGTATAGATTCTTTGGATAAAATAGCTAGACTGTTGGGCTTTATCAAAGAATGAAGACCCGTTAGAAGGAGATTGGGAATAAGCTTCACAGGAGAGAGAGGGAATGATGGTTTGAGAGACACTCTTTTTTTATTATTTTTTAAGAGGTTTTTGCTATAGGGCGTGTGTGCTCGCCAAACAGAGACAGAAAGCGAGAAATCACCCCCCAGGGGGGATGGCCACACCACAATCCCTTCTCCTCCATTCTCCTCTCGAGATCTTGGGCACGCACGCACACGCTCCTGGCATGAGTTTTAAGCCACCGGGTCTGGGACTTGAACCGCGGTCGACTACGTGGGAGTCCAGTGACATAGCCATTACGCTAACTGCTAGTCCCAAGAGACACTCTTATAGGTGGGACTCCTGGATCTACTTGGGTTCAAGTCTTAAGTTCAGTCAGTATGTCGACAAAAAGCTCCAGGTGGATTCTAAAAGAATGTGGACTCTGTAACACAAGTTTATGTGTAGGATTGAATGGTGTGCTGGGATGCTGGTACCTTGACTATGGGGGTGCCTAAACCGGTAGGAAGCTGGAATTTTCTGTCAGGTCCTCTCGTAACTAATCTCTGAGTTTTTCTTTGTCTTGATAATATTTTTCTTGTGGAATTGAGAAAACCTTTTTGGAGTTTTAAATTTATTCTAAGAAGCGGGACCAGTAGATGGTGTAATGGTTACGTTGCTGGACTCCCACGTAGTCTACTAGGGTTCAAATGCCAGACCTGGAGGCTTAAAATTCATAGCAGCTATGTGTGCGTGCATGCCCAAGATCCCTAGAGGAGACTGGAGGAGAAGGGATTGTGGTGTGGCCATCCCCCCTGAGGGGTGATTTCTTGCTTTCTGTCTTTCTGGCGAGTATGCATGCCCTATAGCAAAAACCTCTTTAAAAAAAAAAGCTAAGAAGCCTGGCATTCTTGGTATATCATTTCCTCAGTGAAACAAGGTACTATCCAAGCTCACTTCTGCTCATTGCAGTGGAGGAAACCACGCTCTCCTACTTCTGCAGGATTCACCCCTGCTCCTACAGCGTCAAGTGCAGTAGGGCCTGCTTTGCAGCCTGAGTGAAATCAATCGAGGCGCTGAACACAGGCACTGAAATGACCCGAATAACTCAATTTCTCTCTAGTCAATTAATCTTGGGTAGTATCATGGATAAGACACCTTTGAAAACAACTAATTTGGCTTGACATTGTTCCTTTAAAGGTTTTATAAATGATTGCCTGCCATAGGCGTGTCTAGGCAGCTGCATTTTAATTATGCATTTCTCCTGAAAGGTGGAAGTCATGAAAAATGGCCCTGAAGATAACAAAATACCTTAAGAATTTCACGTAGATTTAGTATATTGATAGACAAGTGAGTGTTCAGCCACTACCCGCGCTCACAGGATCTTCCAGGAAATTGTTAATAGGCTAGTCAGGCGCCAGGCTGACCCTCCGGAAGGTCAGTTAGATTCATGGTGAGATGCAGTGAGGCGGAGTGTTCTCAGGAAAGCCAACAGCAGTTGAGCTCTGTCTATCGGACATGGTCGCTACCATGCCTGGTCGACTAGTATTTATCAGATGGTTCCCCGGCATCTAGTAAAATTCCAGGTACAAGTTTTTTAATCAGTAAATTTGGGTTAATTAAACTGAAAGGGATTCTACCTTTCCAAAATAACAGAAGCTGCACATTTTAAATTAATTTTAATTAATTTATTTGTCATAGGTTGTGCGAGCTTGCTGGAGAAAGAGAGAGAGAGAGAGAGATAAGAGAGATACAGTGAAAAGGAAAGTGAGAAATCACCCCACAGAGGAGATGGCCACGCTGCAGTCCCTTCTCCTCCATTTTCTTCCTGGGCTTTTGGGCACTCACGCACATGCACCCAGCATGAGTTTCAAGCCACCAGGTCTGGGACTTGAACGTGACCATTTGAGAGTCCAGTGCCATAACCACTATGCCACCTGATGGTCCCAGATTTTTATTTTTAAATGTGACTTGCCATCCTAAAGTTTTTCCAGTGTTATATATAGTACTAAATACTAACATTTTCTTTCAAATAACTTCTTGTTTTCTTGGCAGGTTCATATAAGTACCACCGGGTTAATTGTAACACCACCCCCCAGCAGCCCTGTGACAACCGGACCTTCATTCACTTTTCCATCAGATGTTCCCTACCAAGCTGCCCTTGGGGTGAGTACAGTTTCTCCCATTTTTATTTCTCTTTCAGGTATTTAGTCATGTTCATCTGGCCCATTCTACTCCCTAACACATTGAAGTTTACATTGATACTTGTGGGGAGCAGGGTAGCTCTTTCATCTGTTCTCTTTTTTTGGAATTCACTTAATTTTACAAGTAAATAAATGACAAGGTCTTGCTATGTCACAGTCTTCCTGCCTCAGCCTCCCAAGTAGCTAGGACTACAGGTGTGCGCCACCATTTCTGGTGTGGCTGTGTTACCTATGCTAGCCCCAAGCTGGTGATCCTCTTGCCTCAGCTTCCCTAGGTGCTGAGATTATAGGCAGGTGCCACATGTCTGGTCTTTTAGGGTGGGCCAGGAATCGAACCCAGGCCTCCCACGTAGCTCAGCCTGCAAGTAGCAGCATCTCTCCTCAGTGCATACTAGCAGAGCTGGACCTCATCTGTTAGCTCTGATCATCTCAGAAAAAATTAAGAGTTTCTCACCATAGCCTGCAATTTTGTTTTTAAGAATTATCCATTTAATTTTACTTAACTATTCTTGTTATCTTCCAGTTTGCTATAGGGCACATGTGCTCACCATGGGGAGAGAGAGAAAGAGAGAGGAGAGAGAGAGAGAGAGAGAAAGCAAGCTGCCAAATCCAGGACTCAAACCACAGCCCACCATGAGGCAGTCCAGTGCCTCAACCACAATGCCACCTACTAGCCCTACCTGCGTATTTTTAAAGTGAGGATCAGTGTTTAGAAAAATCTCTGAAAAATGCATGTAATTTTTATTAAAGTTCGACCTAATTTCTTAAAGACTTGAGCTTTATTTCTTTTGTGTTTCTAGGTCCTGTTTATTTCTTACAGAGACATATTCATAGAAATATTAAGGAAAGGGGTCCCAATGGCTAGATGGTTTGCTTTGAGTCAGATGATTCAATGATACCAAACCTCTGTATCTAGGATTCATCCTTTAGTTTTCTATCTATAGCCTGTCCTTGTGGCTACCAGAATGGTACCTACTGTCTTGGAAGGCTCTCTTCAATGATATTGATTTTCCTTCTGAAAACAGCATCCTACTGATAGAGACTAAGCGCTAATTGCTCTAAAACAGTCAAACAGGGGAAATTAATAGGGAGAAAATTAGGATAGCCAAGGGAGATAATAGATACAAAGAGGAACATTGTAGAGAGAAAATTAAAAGAGAAGAAACAAGCATATGCAGCCTTGGGTAGTAGCTTAAATTCCTGCTTCCCAAGATTCTATGCAGTTGAACTCTAGAGAAATGGAAATTGTGCCATCTCTCTCATCCTGGCAGGTGCTTTGGCTTATACTGTTAGACTGTGTCTTAGAACTGAGTGGAATGAGGATGGAAAGGATCATTTTATCAGATTTCCCTGGTAGCTAAGCCATCAGCCTCGCCTGCTCTATGCCTTTCCTTTGTGGTATTTTCAGAGAAACATTGTGGCCCAGTGATGGGGTTACAGGCCTGGAGTGAAACGAATCTGGGTTTGAAGCCCAACTCACCCACTTACAAGGCGTCTTAAAAATGGCCGTGGTAAATGGATATTGTGAAACAACTATGCAAGAGGATTTCAAACATTTTGGCACCAAAATAAACATGTGTACTAATTCCACTTTTCCACACACTTTGTGAAGTTCATTCCCATTCCCAAGTCTGTATTTGTTAGAAGACCATGGAAAAAGTACTCAGCCTCTTTCTATCCCTACCTATAAGATGAGATTAATGGTATCTACTTTAGGGAGTTAGAACATGAAGGGAGTGATTTGCACCAATCTCATCACTGGCCTCTGTTGAAGACCTGCAGTGAGATGGGCCTGTGACATGCGCTACAGGTCCACTCTCAAGAATGCCTTAGAGGGCCTGGTTCACTTGGTTATGGGTTTTCTGCTCTCTGTACCAGGAATAGAGAGGCTTCTAAGCTGGTCTGTTTGTAGGTTGTGGATTTTATGTATGTTGTAAACTTCATATTTCCTGCTGCTAGAATGCTTAGAGCCAAATCCGTAGCCCCTTCCGGCAAGAACCTCACAATATATTAGTCAAAATGTTGACTCCATCTAGTTTTATTGTCCTCATTTTCCATTTGCCTTGTTTTTCATTTTTCTTATTTATTTTGCCTTGATTCATTTTATAAATAACTGAAAACTGATTTGGAAATGAGGTGGGAAATAAATACATACAGAGGTATTGCTTAGCTTCACTCAGACTTCTGAAACCTTTTTATAGACTGAAGCATGTTCTTCTATTTAAGTGGAAGTTCATAATGTTCTTGCTAGAGGTTAAAGTTTTGTTATTGTTGTTGTTTTCCTTTTTCCCCATGCTCCCGGAACAATGACAGCTTCCTTGATAGTGTTAACCGTTTGGCGAAGGAGAAAGTTGTCTTGATTCATCTGGAGAGAAGATGAATTTCAGTTAATTTGTGGTTTCCATGACATTCTGATATGCCCAGAGGTCTGACCAGAGCCAAGTTCTATAACCGTCCTGCCCACTAATCTCCAGGGGAGACTTTCTCCTTTCCTTCCCACTCCCAAAACATACATGCAACCAATTGGTGTTTCCATTTCCAGATGACTACCTTGCATGGAAAAATTCTAATTAGATTTCTTAAGGGGGAAAAGAAAAGAGAAACTTCTCTGATTTTAGAAAAATAATTAGTGGAAAAGACGTGAGGGCTGGCTGAGTTTAAGTCCTTGAGAGCTGAACATTTTACAAAATAGGAAATGGCTAGTTGCTCTTAGCTGGGGGCTCACTTTAGGGTAAGTCAGTAGGACAGGTCACAAGAGAGCATGAATATACAAAAACTAATTCACATTCTACCATTTTTCCCTAGGATTATATAAGAAAGCCTGCCTATTAAGCAAGAGGAAGCTTTATTGAATAGTATGTCTACTGTGCCAATTCCATTTAATGAAATACTAATTCTAAACAGATCTATCTGTCATTCTAGGAAATGTCTTGATCTCAAAGTCCCTTATAGATTGGCAGAAATGTTCTGGATCTAGTCTGTTAGGTTTAATTTCAGTAGTATGTGCCCTCTGCATCTCCTAATCATTGTAGTAAGTGTTCTATTTAAAATTTGCAATATTCCCCAGACTATAAAAGCATTAGTATATAACTTGGTAAAAAGAAATCAGACTTCTCATATTGTGGATTTGTAGGTAATAGGCGCTATCACTAGAATAGGAAATGAAAATTATTCCTAGTGGCTTTTTTTTTTTATCAATGCAGAATAAGTTATGAGTATATTACTCCATACATTTCACCTGTAACCATTAAATTGTTAAATATCTAACATTATGAGCAAAATATATTACATCTACCTAATTTAGACATCAGACTATTTTGTTTTTTTAAGGAGATTTTTGCCTTAGGGCATGTATGCTTGTCAGAGTATGAGAGAGAGATAGGAGACAGTGAGAGAGTAGGTGAGAAATCACTCCCTAGGAAGGATGGCCATGCTGCAGTTCTTTCTCTTCCATTCTCCTCCTTGGATCTCAGGCATGCATACAGATGCGCCTGGCATGAGTTTCAAGCCACCGGGTCCAGGTCTTGAACCATGGTTGGCCATGTGGGAATCCAGCAACATAACCACTACTCCATCTACTGACCCCACACATCTAACTGTTAATAGTAGTGTTTGTTTGTTTATTTTGCTAATTTCATTGGTGGAGGATAGTGAAGATCTTAGTTCTGTATCTTTTGCACATTGGCAGAGGAACATTAAAAATAAGAGGTTAATAATCCCTGATGCTGTTTACCTTCTGAGTGGTTTTTAGTTGCAAGGTGTCACAAAGTAGCCAGGTCAAAAAGGAGCAAATACTTGGGACCAGCAATTGGCGTAATGGCTATGTTGCTGGACTCCTGTGTCGTTGACCATGGTTTGATTCTTGGACCCAGTAGCTTAAACTCATGCCGGGTACGTGTGAGTGTGTGCCCAAGATCCTGAGAGGAGAATGGAAGAGAAGGGATTGTGGTATGGCTATCACCCCTGGGGGGTGATTTCTCACTTTCTCTCTGTCTCTCTCCCTGCCTTTCTGGCGAGCACTCGTGCCATATAGGAAAAACCTCTCCCCAAAAATAGGAGCAAATACTACCCTGGCCAACTTATGCACAGTTTACATTCCAAAAATTTGTAACCCTAGTTTAGGATTTTTATACACACTCATGTACAAATCTGTGTGTGTGTGTGTGTGTGTGTGTGTGTATTTATGTGTGTATGTATTGCTCTTGGACACGTGTACTCACCAGAGAGTGACAGAGAGAGGGAAAGTGAGAAATCACCCCCAGAGGGGATGGTCATATCAGTCTCTTTTCTTCCAGTCTCCCCTTGGGATTTTAGGCCTGCACATACATACATCCCATGTGATTTTTCCAGTCACTGGGTCTCGAACTTGAACCACTCAGTTTGCCATGTAGGATCCAGCACCTTAACCTCCACACCACCTGCTTATGTTTAAAGAGACAAAATTCAATGATGAGAAGAAGAGCCAGTACGAATGTAGTTAGTCCATTGTAGTTCGAGGCAGAGGCTGAGCAGGTTCGGGGAAGGGTTCTGGAAGTAGAAAGGTGGAACTGCCACCCTTAGTAGTTTGAGAGATAGCAGTGGAGCTTTTAGAATTTGCAAGAGTTGTGAAAATTGGGATGAAGGAGAAGATATGGTCAACGTTCATAGTAGCAACAGAAAAGAGCTCTAGCATCTCAGGAACTGAGACCTTTGGATTCATGTCTTACACTGGTCTAAGACAGAGGAGAAGCACAGAATGCTTCCTCCTCCGGCTGTAGTGCTAGCTTCCGGCAATCCAAAGACAAGTAAGACCGTCTCTGACTTCACAGTCATAAATCGTAGCAATAGTTTCCATTTACTGAGCTGCTGCTGTGCTCCAGGGCATGGGGAAAGGGAACTTATATAAATTATTTCAAATTATTAACTCCATCTCTCAGATTGGTATAGTGAGGCTCAGAAACTCTGTGTAATTTAGAGTCAGGTAAGTAGTACAGATTTCTTTCATGTAGATAAAATGTGGAACAAAATTTTATAATTTATGCATACAGCTGGTAATGCTGCAGAAAGTGGTAACCCCATTGACTTGAGGAAGCATCTCATGCAGTAGCTTAAACTGTTCCCTCCTTTTTTTTTTTTTTTTTTTTGAGAGGTTTTTTTTATTGC